TATATATATATATATATATATATATAAATATATATATATATATATATATATATATATATATATATATATATATATATATATATATATATATATATATATATATATATATATATATATATATATATAAGGAATCATACGATAGGCAAGCCAAAGACAGATGCATGAAGCAAAACAAGAATGAGACAATGACGATTAATCAACGGTGACGGTGTTAATTAATGATGATGGTGGTGATTAATTAAGAGATGTTAGTTAAGTACCTTTCATACTTTAGCCAAGTATATATATAAATATATATATATTTATTTATTTTAAATTTTGGTCATGCTCCAATACAATTCTCGTGGTAATTTAATTAATTAATTAATTAGCTTGCACCATCTAATTAATTAGCTAACATGCTTGATTAGTGATTAGTGATTACAAATATATAGACTAATGATAGCTTTATTTCATTAATGATTGCGTAATCAAAAAGCATTTCCTTTTTGTGTGATTAATTTTTCCCCATCTAATTTAATTTAGCGTTAATATACTAGAGGTTTCTAGTTGAAAACATAATTAGATGTGGAATACGACCTTAGTATTTTTTCATGAACTAAATCTTTTTAAAAAAAATAAATATGTGTCACATCCTCAATTTTTCTTTTATCCATAATTTACGCTTAACCTAAATCCATAAATTCTAAAGTTACGTTTCTCTCAAATTTATTTTTCCTCTCTCTCTCTCTGTCTCTCTCTCTCTCTCTCTCAATCTTTCTCTCTATTTTTGGATATCTCTATCTCTCTCTATCTTTTTCGTTCTCCACTACTCCAATCCACTATTGAGGGGGGGGGGGTGGTTATGGCGGTGGAGACGGCGGCAATAAGAGGATGGTTGTAGAGGCAAGGATGCGGCGGCTATGGTGGTGTAAGGTCTATGGTGGAAGGCGCGTCGACGGTGTTGGGCATGGATGATGATGTGATGGCGGTGCTCGGTGATGGTGGTGGTGGTGGAGGAGCGGATCTAGGGTTTGATGGGGAAAATTTAAAAAAATTCGATTTGGATTTCCACAGATGTCTGTGAGTGTCTATGAGTATCTATAGGTGTCCAGCGGCTAGGGTCTGCAGGAGGAGTTAGGGTTTCAAGATGTATGTGGGTGACTACGGATGACTACGGTTTCCTATGGGTTTCTGTAGATGTCTATGATCTAAAAAATAAAAAAATAAAAAAATTTCAATTTATGTAGAAAAAAGGGGAAAAAATAGATTTTTAAATAATGAAAAATACGAAAAAAAACCATGTTCCACGTAAAAATAAAAAAAAAATGCTCGTTGCAAACTTAAATATGTTAAATAGTACCATAGTTCATCATAGTATATTTACAATTTGGTGTAATTTCGAATTTGTGAGTGGAAGAGCATTTTTTAAATGAATTTAATAAAGGATGTGAAGCAAATTTTAGTTACACTTTTCATTTAGTTCTAATAAGGTTTGTCAACAGAAAGTTATATCTTAAGACCCCTTTATTTTATATTATCGTTTATTTTATTTTAGATCTAATGGAATTAAGGACACAAATATATATATATATATATATATATATATATATATATATATATATATTTAGATTGGTAATTAATAAACATAATTGAATTTTCTTTTTTTAGATAAACATAATAACACATTGAATTTTTCGTGGAGTAATTTATCTTATATATAATGAAAAAAACGCTGGGCAACCCTAAGAAGTCCTAATAGCATTATTGTAATTATTTATTTTTTAATTTTTTTGTACTAATTTTCTATTTATATTTTCAACAATTATCAAAATTGACATAAACTGTGAATAATCGTTCCGCTTACAATCTCCTATTTTTTCAAATATATAAAAGAAAGAAACGCTCGGCAACCCTAAGAAACCCTAATGGCATTTTTGTAATTATTTATTTTTAAATATTTTTTGTACTAATTTTCTAATTATATTTTCAACAATTATCAAAATTGACACTGAACAGTGAATAATCTTTCCGGTTTCACAATCTCCTAGTTTTCATCAAT